TATTGGGCTGCGCAGGCAAGAGAGAAAGAAAAGAGAAAAAAAAACTATTTTAAACACTGAAATAGCCAATGAACACAGATCCAGCATGACGCCACGATGAAATTAAATCAAGGGAGATAGAAACCAGATGTAAAACGAGCACAAAGACGTACGTTGGCCGAGTCCTGAGTCATGACTTGGCTTCGAGAACTAACTTGTCTTCATTCTGTAAAACCGCATCTGGGATCAATCATATCACACAGAGTGACTCTCAAAACGATATCACTCATCTTAAGAGCTGGAGTGCTGATCTGAGACGGTATTCTTCTTCGGTTACTGTTAAGCCAACAGCTGTATGAAGAATAAATACTGAGAGTTTATTCCACTTTGGGAAAAAAAACAATGCAACTTCTAATTAAGTAAGCCTAAACTGTCTAAAAAAAATGTAATAATTGTCTTTGTTTCTGCTTATAGGAGCAGATTTTCTAATTATTTTTCTTTTTTGAACAATTTGTACGGTCCTCCGACAATGACATCAGCTGCAATAATACAAAATAAAACCCACAAACACTGCAATCATTGATAAATCAGACATCAAATACACACAACACAGGTGCATCTAGAGTGTATTTAAACTACAATGCTGACCTTGGCCTGACCGTGGGGCAAAGATGGAATGTGCACAAACATGAAGCAAACGGAAATCTAGCATAAAATAAAACGCACGTTACACGTTGCGTAGCTGCACACGGATGAAGGAATGGACCTACCATATTTCTTGAGGTAGCCTCGATGAACACCTGCTGTGCTCATGTCTGTGCTCGTCACAGCATCAGGAGCTGGGATGAAAGGCAGAACATTTGATGCTGAAAAATAGGGTAAGAGAGAGAGAGAGAGGGTGAGAGAGTGCCAGAGAATAATCCCCGCTATTTAGGCCTTCCCTCCTTAAACCCATGCTGTTGTGAGTGGAATTGGAGCCGCCCCTGCTTATGCGCACATAAACATCATACAAGGCCCAAATAATCATAACAGCGCCGGATGAACACCCGCAGAAAGATCCCATGATTCTCGTGGCGGCCGTCACCAGATGTCGCGTTTCCCCATACTGCTCAGGAACGAAAGCCTCTATCTGCAGCCCTGCACACAACATATGGGAGACTTATGATAGCTTACCATTAAACTATTATCAACCCTGTCTTGCGGGTGTGCCTCTTTGCCCTTGGTTGGCCTGCGAACCAGGGCTTGGATCACCTCCCGCTCAGGCAGATTAAGGCAGGGATTATTATTCTTGCACAGCTGGAGGCCTGTTGTTGCACGGCCGTGGATAGCCCCAACCAAGATTTTAATCTGGCCGGACCTGGGACACGTGCACCCATGCAAGCAGCAACCTCCAAGATATTAACCGTCACTCAATGTCACATACCCAAGTGGGATTAAACGCACGCTCATTGTGTCATTGTGTGTTTGCTTATCATTGTTAGAATAACATTATGTAACAGGGGGGGGATCTTAGCGAGACACTGTCATGCCTCAGTCGAACAGGTAGCGGTCAAAAAACATGAGAAAATGAAGAATAGGAAGCAGGATTCAGCAGGTACATTAATATACAATCTAAAATTACACCCATGAAGAAGCAGTAAAAATGAATGTAGGCACATTGTTCTGCACTTTCTATTTATTTTGACCTTTTCCAGCTCAGAGGTCACATTCACCAAAACAGACGACTGCTTCAACAGAGCTCATATATGAAACTTGTGGCTGAATAATTGTCGATGCCGAACCTCTGACTGCACTCCGCAAACATTTCAAACAAATAAAGATAATGTGAAATGCGCTGCGTGACCCCACCAACCTGCCAAAGCATTTGTTTGAAGTCTATTTCTGCTTTGAGAGTCGTTTCATTCCCAGTGAAAACCTGCTGCGTTTATAGTTTCTTATAACAAATCATAAACAGAGTTATTGAAGAGTTATTAAAAGCCAAGCGATGATGGAAAACCAGATCATCGTCCTGGTATTTTCCCATCTCGTGGATTAGTTCTGTTTCTGAACTCTGTTCTCTATTCTTAACTTGCAGTTATAAAGCAGCTTTCTACAGAGGATTTTCAGATAATCCACAAGATGAGAGCTCTTCAATCAATTTTCTAGTTTTCATGTTTGCGCCTGCTTTTTCAGACTGTACCTAACTGTTGATATCCATCTGATAGATCTTTTCTTTTCCTTAAGTCTCATCATTATCTCCTTCGCTTCTCGACTCGTCGTGTTAACGGACAAATCCACCTCTAAACTCTTAATTATCTGTGAGCTTCTTTGTGCATGAATGAGTAATGAGACGATGCACAAGAAATACTTAGTGCATAATTACCTTTGAGGGCTGCAAGGTGGAGTGGTGGTTAGCATCATTGCCTCGCAGCAAGAAGGCCGCCGGTTCACATCTTTCTGCGTGGAGTCTCCATGTTCTCCCCGTGCAGCGTGGGTTCTCTCCGGGTTCTCCAGCTTCCTCCCACACAGTCCAAAAACATGCTGAGGTTAATTGGTGATTCTAAATTGTCTGTAGGTGTGAATGTGAGTGTGCTTGGTTGTCTGTCTCTAAGTGTAGCCCTGTGATAGACTGGTGACCTGTCCAGGGTGTTCCCTGCCTTCACCCTGAGTCAGCTGGGATAGACTCCAGCCCCCCATGACCCTAGTGAGGATTAAGCGGTGTATAGATAATGGATGGATGGATGAATGGACACTTTTGAACATCTTTGAGCTACATCCTCTTCCATGCTGACACTTTTAATTGTCTCACACTATATAGAAAAAGTCATCACTTTCCCTCCTCTCCCACTATATGGAATATAAACATAAACTATATTCAAAACAGAATGGCAAAAAGAAAATCCATGTACTTAAAGAAATACATGTAACAAAACACACATTTAGTGCTTGAACGTAGTAGCAGACAGTGAAGATCGCTGCATGCTATTCTAGTAGGACTACATACAGACACATTTTATATTAATATCAAATATAGAAATTGAAAGGTTTTAATTTAACTTAAAAGTATTTACTGCAGATTTCTGACATGCACATAATAGGTACCAGTTTCTCTACCGGCACGATTTGCACATTAGTTTCCGTATTTTTCTTAAAGGTAACATGAGTTAGCTGCTGCATACCTTCATTTTCCCCCAAGGGGATGACTTTAGTATCTGTCTACTTGCAGTATGAGGGCTTTGTCGCCAGCAGGGGGCAGGAGAGACCTCAACTTCAGGCACTTGTTAGAGTCTTTTTCATGCATCAACAGGTTGGGGGAAGCACTTTATCTTTGCCTGTGTCCAATCCAAAGTAGGAAGACGAGGAAGAAGGACAAGAAGAGGTTAGCTCATTGTTAGCAGCGGCTGTGTGGCTGGGAGAGCAGCAGGAAGGTGTTTCCCATGTCCTGCAGCCAATAGACTGTCTGCTTCCAAACTAACAGGTTGTTTTGTTTAGCAGGCATTTGAGACCAACAAGGATGTTATCACTGCAGTCTTCCTTTGTGAAGGAAAATAGTAACTGCTGTCCATATATCTTGTTTTTAGCTGGAAACACGTGCTTTCAAGTCCACTTTAACTTTGCGTAAATATTCCTAAATCTTTAAGTCTTGGATCAGGTTCGGTGGATTTTGGTGTGGCTTGAACCTAAACACAGAGTCCTGGAGCTGATGCCCATCCCCCTCAAAACCCAAACATCCACTCCTTCCAAAACTTTGTGTTTTTGAGTAGAACACCCCTCTTTCTTGTACTGGACCCCCTCTGTGACCCCTCTTCCCTCCCTTCCCGTCTTTTTCTCTCTCGCCATGCTTCTATCTGGGAGCAGTGAGAGCACCATTGCTCAAGCTCCTATTGAAAAGAAAGCATATACAATGGGGTCTTTCTCAGTCCCTCTCTGTCTCTATTAAAGACCCTGGGAACACAACACTGTCCACAGAGCCACTCTTAAAGGGCCAGTGGGACCGAGGTCCTCGCAACCTGAGTTCCAGCACCTCCCATCATTTTCATGGGAAAAAGGGAAAAAAAAAATCTACACAGCAAATCAATTATTCATGAATGGTATGTGAACTGGACAGGGCCTTCTCCCAGGCGGCCAGCGCCAGCCTCACCTCAGTCCAAACAGACATCTCAGACATGACAGCCCACAACAACAACACAACAAGACTCAAACTCAGATGGGAATCAGGGGCATTTATTTAGACTACAGCTGATGACACTTCAGACTGTTTTGGCTGAAACTGTACGTTCAAACAAATTCCCAGACGCTGATGACATAATCCTGGTAATGCAGAGTCAGAAAAATATGCAAACAAAATAGTGTGAATATTATTACTTTTATTTTAGCCATTTTGGCTTGTCCCGTCCTGTAATAAGACACTGGATGAATAAAGATTAATAGATTTAGAACTGTTCAAACTTTTAACTTGTGACCTGAAATAGTTTATAATCTGATTAAGTCACTTTATTAAACTTAACATATAATTTAAACAGTTGTGTTGTTGGAGTTGTGTGTGCATTCTGCAGAATCTATGCATTAAAAAAAAAACATGCAAAACAACATTTTACGCATAAAAACACACATCATGCGCTTAAAAACGGGCAGTTCTGCATCATACATGTGAAACTGAAGCAGGTAACTTTGACAGCAACTTTGTTTAACCGGAATAAGTGAGTCAGGTTAAGCAAATAACATGTTTTTAACTCATTGTTTCTCATTTATTCAGACGTATTTACATTCTGTGTTGTTGTTGAGCCACACATGGAAACGCGCAGCTCTGCGTTTGATAGTGTTTCAAGCGGGAAAGACGCTTGTTTCGCGGAGCTATTTACAACTTCTGGGGACCCGTGTGTAATTAAAAAGCGAATGGGGGGGATTGTGTTGAGACAATCAGCATGCCGCAGGGTTTCTCACATCCTTTGAGAAAAGGAGGGAGACTGTGGAGACGGAGGAGGTGGAGGAGAAGGAGGAGGGTGGAAAGAACTTGAGTTGAGGAATTTGAATCCTGTTTGAAGGGGGGAGAGGGAAAAGAAAGCCAGGGGGAATGTCTAAGGGAGTCTGAGGGAACCGGTGGGCAGGAGAGAGAGACTTTGGACGGCAGACTGCAGGAAAGAGTGGTTTAAAAATACTCCCTCGGTTGCTAGAAATAGATTTGGGTTTGGACAACTTAATCAGGAAAAGCTCAGTGCGCGTTTTAGCTGTGCGCTTTTTGGGTAAGTTGGTGGACACAACACCTCCTCCGTTTGGAACCAAAACAACTGAGGAAAAGCAACAAGACTTCTCAGCAGCGGGGAGATTGTTTCTTTTTTTGTGTCTCCTTTTAAAAGGGAACTGAAACGACAGGATCCGGTTTGTTTTGGTCCCGTTTGTGGATACTCACACATTAGCAAGTCACAGCGAAACTTTTTTTTTCTCACTTTGCGCACAACTTTGGATCGTGGAGCTGCTGAGATGCGGTGATGGAGTTCTGCGATGTTTCCAAGATGACTGCTCTCCTTAAGAAGCTCATTTTCAGACGTGATCTCCTCTCAAGAGAAACCATGAACGGCTCTAAATGGTCTTTCTTCACCCTCGCTGTCATGTTTTTGACCTGGAAGCCTGCAGCCGCCGGGACACTGTCAGGTAAGGTTTCACTCACACCAAACAGCAGCGGCTTTTTTTTTTTTTATCCAATCTGACTGTTGTTTGTCGGCTTCAGAGCGAGGAAAAACATCGTAATGAGCAATTAGCCCAGTCAGCTTTCTGCTCCTAACACATTAAACCAATTTGCTTTGGGGTAGCGAGTGCAACCACAGCTCCAAGGGGCGTTCAACATCTGGCCTGCATGCAGGAATTAATTACGCTAATAAAAGAAAACCTTTTAAACCAAGGTGATCAAAGAAAGCAAATAAAATCTAGACTTTACTGATTCATTCAGCTGAATCCTGCTGAGGATTTAAACACGTTAATAGTTTTCTGCCTTTGTTGAAGGTTGTTGGGAGGTTTTTATCCCCCTTTGACTGGCAACAGGACCGTGTTTTAGAAATCAGGTGCAGCCTGAATGCTTGTGTTGAATCTTTACTCTTGCTGGGATTATATGCTAACTAGGTATCCAGACCAGGGTTCCCAGCAGTCATGGCATTTCCAGAGCATTGTGGAATTTGAGACATGTGCTGCAGGAATGGAAAAGGCAGCAATTTAAAGTCAATCATGCTGGGAATTGAGAAAATATCATTAGATTCACTCCACAAGCATGAGAGGTGACTCTGTCAAAAGGATTTGGACTACTTTAAGAAGTAGTCTCGATATAAACAGGGTTATTTACATCAAGAAACCCTGTAAACCTACTTCTAGAAAGCCTGATCTGTACTTAGAATGAAAGTTGTTGGTAAAAACAATGGGAAAAGTCAGCTATGGCAGCCAGTAGATGAAAACATGGGAGTCCCTTCTGGGGCCTCCACCTGTCAACTCATGTGTTTTGACCATCATGGTCACGCTGTCTCTCTGGGAGCCTCAGCCCTGAGTAGATGTATGACCGGCAGGGACAGAGATTACTAGACGCCGATGTGATTTACAAGCTCAGACGTTCAAAGCAGAGTTTTTCCTGATGCCTCAGTTCCTATTTGGATGTGGGGATGGCCGCGGCCCAAGAGTGAGGGGATGTGAAGGATGAGGAGGGGTTCAGAGGGGCCGAATGCTTCGGTTTGTGAGTCAGAGCCGGTCTGACTCAGACTCAGAGCAGTGAAATGATGGATGGGGTTCGGGGGGCAAGAGCGGAGGAGAAAGAGTTTGGAGGGGAGGTGGCAAAATGTGTAGCGATGAATCCAAAGAATGGCATGAAAAGGAGCAAGAGGGCAAAGGCGCGGCAGTGAATGCAAGGGCCTGAATAACGCCGCATTAAAAAGCCAGAAAGATAAAGGAGGGAGTGAGAGGAGGATAAATGCTTAGCCTGTGTCGAGTATTTTTGGTATGTGCACGTCCACTGACATTTAACATCTGAGCATTTTCACAGAGAGAGAGAGTGTACGAGTTGGGGCAGGGTGGAAATAAGAGGGATCCTGGAAAAAAAATAAAAAAGTGTGGGACCCCAGGGGAATTCAGGGGACAAAAGGGAGGACACGGAGCAGTTAAGCACAAATGAATCAGTGCAGACAGCCCACACACACACACACACATAGTGTATCCACGGCCTGCTCTCCCTTTCTATCTGCACCCTCATAAAAGGTTTACAAGCTTATTATTAAATGAATGCAGCAAAAAGAGACAGAGAAAGAAAGTAGGGCTGTTTTTGTTCAGTGCAGCAGCGGAAAAAAAACAAAGTCAGGGTCATGCAGATTCTTGAAAGAGCTCAGCCAAGCTTAAAAATAAAAGGAGGAATGACTTTTAACGCCAAAAAGCACACGGAGACAGAGAGGCGGTGGAGCAGAGACTCAGCGGGCCCCTTCATTTATTGCACGCTCCCAGAACAAGCTTTTCGGATGTCGGCTTGTGTGTAGGTGCATCGGGCGCAGCTAGGAGCTAAACAAGTGCCGCCAAAATGTGCCTTTTAAACTGGAGGTCTTGTTTGCTGCGGCTCAGTTATTTATGTGAGCGAGACGGTTCCAGTGGAAACCTTTGGGGTCGCAGTGATGGGTCGAAGGTCGAAGGTTGACCATGAAACAGACTAGGAGGGCGGGCTGACAAGCTTGAGAAAATCTTTACAGGCGTCACTCAGTGAAAGAAGCATGATTTATTCTTGCCCTGAAATTCAAGAGCGCAAGCAAAGTTTTCACATCCTCAGTCAGTTGATGTTTTTTTTGTCAGATCCAGGAGAAGTTCCGCCTTTCCTTGATCGGTTGCTTATAATTTACATTTAATGCTGCAGAAGAGATGTTACGCATTTCTGCAGAAGACATCTTTGCCCATGTGTCCTTGCCAGCTTCAAGGCATTCTTACATCTTGCATGGTTTCCTTCAACATCATCAGGAGTCATTTCTGCTGAATGTTTTAACAGAGAGGAAAAGAAGAACCAGCCAGAGAAGTTTGAACTTGTCATATTTCAACGTTTTCTGGATGTTGAACAGACTGTCAGACATCTTGGCAGACAACCTGCTGGCCCGTCACTGCTGTTTGTGAGAAACTCTGATTCTAATTTAGTTCGTATCGAGCTCTCTGTTCTCAGACAGTGTCTTAGCAGCGGCAGGAGCAGGCGTCCTCTCACAAGAGACCTTTGTCCCAGTATCAGCGCTGTCCTTCTCAGGTCGGCCCCACTATCAGTGAGGAGATAACTAGACTCCTTTTAAAGCCAGCGTGTCGGTGGATGAACTCTGCCTTTTACCTGTTGTTATCATATCTAAGCATGACATAATTAGCATTTGTCGGACCCATAACCAAATCAGGATTTTAGGGGTGAAAAGGTCAGTTGACTAATTGGTAAGTCAACAATTGCAGTTAAGTGTTTAGGTCATTCATTAAACCAAAATGTGCTGGCTGCAGCTTGTGAAATGTCAATATTTGCTGCTTTTCTGTGCTTCATATCATTATAAATTGAAAATCTTTGGGTCATGGACTAAACCCCCAGAGCTAGGAGGATTTGTGATGAGCATTTTCACTATTTTTGTTTCATTTGATAGACTATGTGCTTATTTGTAAATCAAAAAAATATGTAATTAATCATAACAATTGATAAGTAAGTAAAAAATAATTGCCATGTGTAATGTGTTCACATTTCTCTTTCTTAATGGTGTTTTTTTTAATGATCTTAATTATGATATAAATCTTTATTTCTGAAAGGGACTGAGTAATCCTTCATTTGTTATTAGTCACCTGCTGGCTGAAAGTGTAAAAAGCATATTGTTACGTGATTTCCAGCATCATTTCTCTACTAGATGAAGGCAAAGACATCAGCAGGAACTGTTGATTTCTTAACACAAGATCTTAGTTTTTGGACGACTAACCCCATCTCCTGCGTCTTTCCTCCCTCAAATCAAAGATCTGGAGTTTGAACGGAGTCCCACCACCGTCATCTCCTCACTGGGCAAACCTGTTACGATGCACTGCACCCTGAAGGGAACAGGGGGCGAGGAAGAAGACCCCCCGGACGTGGTCTGGCTGAGAGACGACGTGCCGCTTCTGTATGCAGACACCAACCAGTTCCAAGGCCTCACCGGCAGCAACAGCTGGACAATCAAGAGCACGCTCAGGTAGGAAGCGGTTTTATCTGTGACTCTTGCAGGCTGCTTTTTGTTTAAATGACGGCATGAGATCTAAGGATCATCTAATGAGAGGCAGCCACACCTGCCCTAAAAATGTCAGACATGCATCTGTGATTCCATGTATTTCCTGTCTCTGCACCTCGTCTTTTCTCCTAGCTGAACCTGTTGGTGTTTTATGTCACCATGTTGACTTCCAGCCACGATAGAGCACTTTAAAATGAAGTCTGAAGCATTATATAATCCAAGTAAAAGCGCATGTGTCTCCCCTGATGTAGCTTAATGTATTTAGCTCTGGTATGGCTGGAGTTTCTGTGCCTCCTCTGTTTTAATGTTGTGATTTGTTCTTTCATGATCTGTAACACCTCCTTCCCCTTTATGTGCACAACAGAATTGAGAAGGTCCAGCTTCCCGACATGGGCTCCTATAGATGTGCTGTTTTTTCAGAAAGCCACCAGACTCTGTCTGACGAGGGCAGAATTCAGCTGGAAGGTGGGTCTGTCTTCAGCAGCCAGAGCTACAAAAATAAACAAGTTTCATATGAGGGCTCCAGCTGTATTTGGATTGTTTAAAGAGAAAAAGACCCTGATTCAGCTGAATTCCTTCTCAGGCCTTCCTCATTTCTCCGTGGAGCCTCAGCACATGTCTGTAGTGGCCAACGTCTCCCTGAGCCTGAGCTGTGTGGCCCACGGACCTCCGGAGCCGGTCAGAGTGATCTGGCTGCAGGACGGGGCTCCTCTCAACTCCCTGGCGGACCCTGTGGCCCTGTCACCCTCCACGCTCAACCTCACAGGTACCATCCGTCACTATCTGCTAAGTCAGCGCACAAAACCACAGACAGCAGACAGCTTAGCTAGAGTCATGAAAACGTACAGTCTGAGTCAGCTCCTCCAGCGCTGTCGCTTTGTACTGATGCAGCACAGTGTGGGACCGCAAGTGAAGAGTTCATTTGCAAAAACAGATAACTTTTTGTTGTTTGCGTGAGATAGTATCAGACTGAAGTTGAGTGGATTTGACTGAGTAGAAATGACACGACAAAAATAGAGATAACTTAGGTTTGACTGATCTTGGAAAAGTGGGTTTTCTGAAGGTTTGTGACGATGGAGTTATCTGTTTTTGCAAATGAACTCTTTATTGTTTAGTCCATAAACTGTGAAAAATACACCTAAAAAAAGCGTACAGGGCTTAAAAAGAAAGATCAGTCCAAATTAATTTAGCTTAAAGTTACATAAATTGTTTAAAAAGACTTTTAACAATTTAAAACCAGCTACCAGAAGATTATCCGATCAGTTATCTGATTTCTGCTGATTAACTCAATAGACTAAGCAGTTAATCATTAGTTACTGTCAGCAGGCGGCCGCCCCAACCAGCAGCATTTTTAAATTACTATAAACAAGATAATTTCAGAATCACTGTTTCTGATTGAACCCATTTGGACTGATTATAATGACCTGCCTCAATCACGACTAAACAACTATCTCCTGCGTTTCAAAGCCTTCCAAATCCCCCTCCCACGGCTTAAACAAAACCACCAACTAACCGTCTTCCCCTGAGAGAGCCCGCCTGGCACGCCGCCAGCGGATCCATTGAGGACGTGCCTTGTGGTCGTGCGGGTAAAAAGCAGAGCGGCAAGCACAAGGAGGACAATTGGGAGACGGAAAATTGATGTGCAGGGAACACAGGGGAGATAAAAAGAAGCAGAGAAAGGAGAAGGGTTCTGTTGCTGCTCGAATACAAACCGCAGCTGCGTGCCAGATAGCTGGTCCGGTGGCGGGGAGGGGGCAGGCTGAGTCAGTCGGATAAAAAGGAGGAGTAGGCAGCAGTGTTCGGTCGAAGGCTCTGGTTTGACTCATCAGAACTGGCTGCCTGGTGTTGACCAGCACTGTTTGACGGTAACCTACACTCACATCTCTGGAATGGACAGCTGCTCTGGTAGACCACAGGTCCAAACCGAGGCGAACGCAAATAATCGTTCAAGAAGCCCATAAAGAGAAATGGCATGAAGTACATTCCAGCCATCAAGAAATCAAGGCCAGCTCATGCTCCTGTTACTTTGTGTCTGAGATGGTTTATTAAAGGAAGTCCTTATATAGTGTTAAATAATCTGAAGTGTTACGGGAATAAAAGTTTGTCTAGTATCTAGTTTGTCTGCATGTTTAGTTCAGCTTTCTGCTGAAATCAGCGCTTCTAACCTCACTGTTACTTTCATTTCATGTGCAGGGCGGAAATATTTATTTATCAAACAAAAAAAATGTGGAAATATTTCGGATTCCAGCTTCTCAGATTGAGGATTTGACCATCTAATGTCTTATGTCTTTGAATTTCTTTGCATATGCACGTAACCACTTTTTGATCAAAGTGGTGATTTATTTATTAATGAAAGTAGCTGCAAGCTTAAATCCAAGATGTCTGAGTGTTTAAACACAAAGGAAAGCACAGTATGTCACGGATCTAATACCTGTCGGTTAAAGGAAGGCAGCACCAGGATCCCGCTCTGTCATGACCAGCTGACATTGTTGATCAGTACTATAAAGATCATGAGCTTCTTCCCAGTGACCAGTTCTGACATTTTCAGCTGGTGAGTGATTGTTGTTTTGCGGTTTGTCCAAGAGGGGAAGGAAGGAGACGGAGGAGCAAGTGGCGCAATCTCGAGATGGCCTGATGGTCAGTTCATTCAGTCACACAGCCAGTGGTCATCCCTCACCCTTCGCTCCCTCCTTTTTTTCCCTCACTCTCACCACCCCGGGTGAGGATCGTGGCCCCCGTTCTTTTTCCGGCCTCGACACAATGGAGGCTTGGTGCCGTTGGCGCAGCGCGACACACTGCGTGATTCTGTGCGAGTCTCACTTTGTGGCTGATTGACAATGTTGGGGTGTTAGATAACAGTGATAAAACTTGAATGTCACATGTTTCAGTGTGCGTCCGTGTGTGAGCCTGTGTTGTGTTGTGGAATGTTTGGAGTGTGTGAGCACGCTGTGAGTCACTTTGTCAGAAGACTCATTCTCTGTTGAATGTCAGCGTGTGTCACAGTGTTTTGCCCCCTTCAGAGGAGCCTCTTGAAGGCAGCAGCTCAGCCTTTTGCACCTCAGCGCGACCACCCTCTTTGTCCCCCAAACCGCGCCGCAACAAAAAGTTTAACTCTCAGCACTTTGGAAGCTGCACACTTGAAAAACTGAAAAGTCTGCGATTTCAGACTCGATGCGTTTGAGATCCGTCAGGTTCAGAGAGGGTCTGTGGTGCTTGTAATGAAGTTATGTTCAATTTTCTAGTTGGAACTTTGTGTAAAACTGATTTTCTGGTCAATTGGTGGTTGACATCGGACTGACTTTGATCAAAAATGACCACATTGTTTGTGCAGCATTTAAATGATTAGGTGTAGAATAAAGCAGGTCCTACTGAAACATTCATGGAACAACAGTGACCAAGATGCCCCAAACTATTGTCATCTGAATCTAATTTAGTCTAACTTAGATGTCTTTCGACCTGTAAATCCTCAAATGAGTGTTTACTGTGCATGTATGTGTGTATATTGGGGGGCTTTTGCCTTTACTTTAGAGCAGTAGAGACAGACAGGAAAGGGGGAGAGACCTGCAGCATAGGGTCATGGGCAGGAGTCGAACCCACGACCGCTGCATTGGGGAACTATACCCCATGTTCATGGGTCACCTGCTCAACTAGGTGAGCTGTAGGGGCACCCATGCATGCATATATTGATTATCTTTACATTCAAATCAAGACAATATAGCTTGATTTAGAAAATCTGAAACAGCTAATAAGGTAAATGGTCGAAGACTTCATGTATCCGTCTATCATTGACCTCATTTGGACAAAACCTAAAGAGGTTGTACTGGATATGTTGGCATAATTTTATACTATTAAAAAGCAAATCTATAATCAGCAGTAGCTGTAATCTAAACAAAAAGTCTCACACGAGCAGTTTTAACCAGATGAGAAGGTGTCAGATGGAGGGTTGCTTAAATATTCCATGAAAAATATTATATTTAAAAGTTCACAGCTGGAGGTCTGATTTTGGTGAAATGTGGCAGTAAGATGCTTCAGGTTTAGGGAGGGTACGCACCGTTTCTAGCAGATGTGTTTTATTTGTTTAGCGAAAAACTCTAAAAGCCCGTTCTAGATCTACGACCGTCACACTCTCAAAAATGTGCTTTCACATCAACCAGCACACACAAGCTAAGCATGTACCGAAAGAAAGAGCGTGCCGATTTACGGAAACTGCTCCGCTCGCGCTGTTCTCACTTAAGTTTGAACTTTCACACTGTTTCTCACATTAACATTAAGTCCAACTCAGCATGCTGCGCAAGTATTCTTGGTTTCAAAAGACCCGATGTGCTTCCTCTTCACACGTGCATGTTTGATTTTATCATCCAGGTCTGAACAGGACCAGCACCTTCTCTTGTGAAGCCCACAACCTCAAGGGTGTGGCCACCTCTGGGTCTGGTACCATCACTGGTAGGTGTCCACAAACACTTCACTTAGTCTGGATGTACTTTTTATTGCTCAGAATTCCTTGCTGTTCTATCTTTGTTTATTCTTTCTGTCTCTCTTTAGTCCTCCCAGGCCAGCCTCAGAACATCAGAGCTGTGGAGACCACTCAGACCTCACTCCGTTTATCATGGCAGCCCGGTTTCGGAGGCGACTACCCGATAATCCGCTGCTCTGTGCAGGTGAGACAATGTGAGATAAAGGGAATGCCACGACTAGCTGAGAAAAATCACTGCAGCTGTTTGACTTGCATGTTAAGCAAGCACATCATTCAGCCTCTGTTTGCAGGACTCCAAAGACCAGAGACTTACCTTTTGCGAGCCTAATTTTAAAGAAAAGAGAGCCTGCTTTTCTTTTCTTCGCTTAACTCATCCTCTACCCCTCCCTGCTTTATTCATGGAGCAGTGGATCAGGTTTCACGCTGGGAAAGTGGCCTCCTGGACTAATATTATGCAGCACCACTCCCTCTCTCTCCCTCTGTCAGTGTCTCTCTGCCACTATCCTGCTTTGTGGCCATTACAGCTCATTGCCGAGAGGAGGAACATTCTCTCGTGCAGCGCAGCACCACCCCTAAACGTCTGGTTCTAATAAAGCTGCCCCTCATACCTCTTGCTGCTCTTGCCCCCCCCTTCCCCTCAGCCCCTCACCCTCACAGGGGAACAAGACAAGGGGCCTGCCTCAGCAAAACGGGGCAAAAATCTGAATTTAACGGTTCATTGTTTAGCGAAGAGAAAAAAAAAAAAAGGTGACATGTCGAGAGCAGAAAGACTGTGCTCCACGAATAGAAGCATAAAATAGAGATGGAGGGAAAAAAAGAAAAGAAAGAAAGTCTGTTGGAGAAAACAGGAAAAGGCAGTGACAGACAGCAGGTATTGTGAGTCTGAGCCATAGCAGAGGAATTCAGGACGAAATGTGACTCAGAGCTGAGCTGTACTATTAGATTAAACACACTTGTTTTACAGGCTCGACGGTGATTCATAGTAAAGACTCGACTCTTTTACTCTCACAAGCGCACACATTCATGCAGCGTTCACTCATGCAGCCTAATATTTCTTGGGATCACGCCACCTAACTCATGCCATGAGGAACAAATCACCCACCCTGCTACTTGTGTGACCTCTGAAATCTCTTGTTTGGAAAATCAGCAACAAAGCGGCGCACATCAACACCTGCTCACACACGCTCACGCAGAATCTGTGCACTTTTTTTTATTACGGTTATTTATATGTTTTTAACTGTAAGGCCCTCCCTGCCAAGTGCAGCCTGCAGGGGCTGCTTGATAATGAGCAACACAGCAGAACAATGGTCTACAGCAGCAACTTTAATGTGGTTTTTTAAATTGCTGCATTGAAGGATTTTTTTTTCCTACCTTGTGTTCCTCTTTAAATGTGTTTACCGCAAAAAGTTTGCAGAGGCAGCAGCTTTCGGCTTGTGATTCGGGCTTGATGAGTTCTGCTTTCGGTGTACCTTGCTGAGCCTGGGTCACGTTCAGAGGAGCAGTGAAGCAGATTTTACACCATTTTTGGAAATCGACACCTAATGACACCCCCCTGCCCCCCCCCCACACCAGCAGCAGCGTTACATGCCAGTTCTGCTGCTTATCTTTTCTTCCACAGTACCTCATACATGATACTGTCTGTTACTGTGGATACAGAGAAAAACATGAGAAAACAACTGAAGAAAAAAATATTTTAATTGCACAGACTGCATCTTTTCCTATCTGTCATTCTCCGTGTCTTAGTATAAAGCTGTGACATGTTAGCTATTATTAATTTAGACATAACACTTTACTGATGGAGGTGTCAGTGATAGTGTTAATAGATAGCACATTTGAATCTAGTTCCTGTCTGTCACAAAAATATGTTTCTGTTTGTTCTGCATTTGTGGACGTTTCTTTGTATTTTTTTTTCTTTGGCTTTACTTAAAATTATTATTATGTTCAAAGTGGTTTATCCGCCAAAACTGCGGCTTTAGCTGTGTTTGCACCAAAACAGCGGCTTCCTGTTTGTGCCATAAAGCAATAAAACAAATTAACCGCCACATCCCACCGCACAGTCTAAATGCAGCGTTAAGAAAGTTAGAGGCTGTAATAAATTTACGTTTGTTATCTGAATGTTCCAGGCCAAACATTCAGGCGAGTCCTTCACGGCGGGCCCAGATAAGTTGATCCACAACCAGAACGTGAACATCCCACCAGCCACCCACCTCATCGGGGACCTGGAGCCCCACAGCCTCTACGCCGTCAGGGTGGCCTGTCACAGCAGCCAGGGCCCGTCCGACTGGACGCCCTGGGTGGAGCTACGCACCAAAGAAGGAGGTGAGTCCTGCCAGTGCAGAGATGTTTGTTTTCACCATGGATGAGTTGTCTGGATGTGGGTGTGTGTGGGATCACTTCCCCAGAAGTGTGTCAAGGCCGAAGCCGTGTTATCTGACTACTGACTGAGCTCTAAGTTCAACTCTCCTCCCATTCCTGCCCTTCACTTTTACCAGTTCCGGAAAGAAACTGCACAACAACTAGCAGATGCCAATTAGTCACTTTTTGGGAATTTTGTTATCATTTTATATAAATAAAACACACACCCAGTTAGGCTCCAGCCCCCCAAGACCCTAGCGATGATTAATGGATGGATGGATGGATGGATGGATGAATGGATGGATGGATGGATGGATGGATGGATGAATGGATGGATGGATGGATGGATGGATGGATGGATGGATGGATGGATGGATGGATGGATAAGCACCCAGTTTGTTCCAACAGAATTACTTGTATATTTTACTACATTACAATCTCCAATACCTGAACCATGTCAAAGTCAGGGTAAAGGGTTTTATTTTTCCAGCTTGTATTTTAAACCAGTTTCAGTGTTTTATAACACAGCTTAGACAAAGGTTGCTGGGGATGTACAATATATATTTGGCCTAGTAATGAAATATTAAGATTTTGGTTTTGCAAGGTCTACTTATTGCTTTCTTGTTTCTATTTTAATCTTTCAGGATTTTCCAAATTGTGACTCAAGTCTGCAGATATGATAGTTTATTTTCTGTTGAGGCCGTGGATAATGCACTGCAGCTGTGTTCTAATGCTTTTTCATGCCTTGGGCTGTCAGTTTTATGGTTTTCTCTCCCATCTAGAATTGAAGTTGTCATAGTCTTCCAGTGTAGTCACATTTACACTGACTATTTAGAAGCTTTATTAAAGAATACAAAGACATACTCATGTGATCAGGGACACTAAGGGGTTGTCGAAAAGTTATTTTTCGCCCCACAATATTTTTCCTGAGCTTGTTTTAAGGTGTTTCTTATTCACTACGGATATAAATCCGTTGACAGCTTTTCAGCTTGATTCTGAGTGAGTCAGGACTTATTGGGAACATACTGTATGATAACAAGGAGTCAAGTTACAGTGCACTGTTAGTCATAATACTCCCTCCTGTGCCCCTTTACTTAGTCTCTGTTTATGAAGGATACCAGATGCGAGCCACTGCACCTCCGTGAACCCATTTTCAAATGTAAACTCTGGAGGTAGAAGGCCGACTGGCATCGAAGGGACAGAGGAGGTGGAGACGAGGAAGGCGAGGGTGGACGTTAAATTCTCCTGAAAGGCTTCAGTTAGGATCGCTGTCCAAACTGTAATGCTAGGCTGCTGTGTGTTTGAGTTTAAACTGAGGTGGGATTTTCCATGCCAGCTCATGCTGTCTCTATCCCTGGATAAATAGGAGTGGAAATAGCGTACACTAAGAGGAGAGATATGCCACAGGAGGGATGATCGGGGCTTTCCACAATGGAAGCTGCTTGTTGACCCGAAAATGAAGCATTTTTCACTTTCTTGTGAACAGGAGAAGAAAGAGGAAGAAGTAGCACTTATTGAGACTCTGGCCACAGTCCGGATTTTCAAGTTTCTGTTCTTTATTTTTTAAAAACTTAAAGCAATCTTTCGTTTCAGTGGAAAAGTCACAAATTACAATCATTTCCCTTTAAATGGTGTTGATTGTTGCTCCGGCAGATCTCTCTGCACTTGTCCTAATGAGTCATAGGGGGGAAAAAAACAGAAGGTTTAGCTTGTGGTCAAAGACAGTTCAGGAGGAGATGTGGACTCAGCCATATTTTCCACGTCCCCCTCAGTGGTATCAGTGCTGAACACTGTGGCGCTCTGTTATTGAGCTTTAAGTTCTTTCATTAATTAATTGTGCAGATATATGTTGCACTGTCTTAATATCCCACTGCAGACATCCTCCTTCATTTCCATCATTCATTTCCTTAAAATGAAGCGGCCTAACTTGCACTTATTTTCTTGCTGTAGGCTTTTCCTGCCTCGAATCGTACAAACATTGCTCAGAGAGTTATTTCCTGCATCTCCAAACAAGCTGAACAAGTTTTTCTGAATCCAGTCTTTCAGCTTCACTCCTTCATCTCTCATGTCCCCCCTTTTTTTTTGTCTGACCTCGGGTGACCTGTGATTTCTCTTTTTGGCGCACACAGCTAGGCACTGTGGGAAAAAACGCACAGAAAAAAAACTGGTTTGATGTTGCGAGCGGGGAAGGAATGGATGGAAGAGCAGAGAAATGGGAGATGGGGGCGCTTTGAGAAAACACTCATTTTGCTATTTTCCCAAAGCCCACTATTCTCCCTGGAGGATGAGAGAACAGAGACGGGGGGGGAGGTCGGTGGGAGAGGAAGTGAAGCGACCTATGTCACCCTCCTAATCCTAAAGCTGCAATGAGATTATGTTTTACATATCAATTCTTGTCAGTGCATTTTCCCTTTGCTTCCCAAAAATAACTCCAGAAATGCATCTAAGACACTGAAAAGGTAAACTAATAGACTCCTGATTCCATTTAACACTCTTGTGACATAACTGCTGTCTGAAAAGACCCCAGAAGGAACAACTGGAAACCAAATTCACCGTCCTGATTGTAGTGAGTCATGATGATGTGGCACGCTACACACACACATGTGTCACAGTTAATCCTGTTTGGGTTAAAATGCAACCGCAAGCATTAAATGACTCTGTTTCCAAGGAAGGCGACGGTCTGTTCCACTATGAAAATTGAAACAGGGTGGACGTCTTTAGGAGTTGTGACATTTTTTTTGATGACGCTAATATTTGTGTTCCGTCTGATCTGGAAAACATGTTTCCCGTGTAGTGCTGAGTTTGTTTTCATTTATGGGGACCGGGCTCTAGATCCCAGGGTTATAAATCTGTTCCTGGAGGAAGGATGACCCTTTTCCACACACGTGTTGACCCACGTGGAGCTTAACTAGACTGAGAGATGAAATAAAGCCTACGGAAACAGAAAAAGAGTCCCTGCTTCCAACCGATGTTCAAACTCTTCCCAGTGTTGATATTTGAGACTTATTTTTCAATGGCACCACCAGCAGGATGTGAAACAGTAGTCTGCCATGGATACAGATGTTAACCTCTGGTTGTTGTGAACTAATTGTGGCTCAAGTGTTTGTTTCTCAGCCTCTTGCCAAGTACGGACGGCTTTCATGTGGAAGACAAAGAAGCAGTGTGAGGCATTTTTACTCTGTCGTTTCTGCATCTCGGAAAACTCCACCAGCACACGTTCTCTTTTTCCAAATCTTTCGACCAGTGTTTTTTTTTTTTTTTTTTAAGCAAAGCTGTTTTTTCCTCCACAAAGTTTTACGTCAACATCTCTGGTCTCTTGAACTCATAGCTCTCTGAAAAAACAAAAAGGAGAGGCATTACCACAGAGAGGGCAGTGAGCGAGAAGAAAACTTGGAAAGGAGGAGATGGAATCACATTGGATGGTGGACAGGGAAAGAAAGAAAGATGAGACGGGGAGGAGACCGACAGAAAAGAGAGTGGACAGGCAACAAAGAGGTGGAGAAGGAGGCAGAGGGATGATGGCGTATAGGTGGAGCCGAACTGCTGGAACAAACTTGACTTGGAGGTTGTTTTCGTTGCTGCTGGCAGGCTGAACCGGGACCACATGTGGAAACAATCACCCGCCAAACGCTTCCTGATAACATCATCCATAGGCTGGCCCATGTTTCCCAAACTCACAGTGACTTAGCTTGTGTGTGTGTGTGGGTGGGTGTTAGAGTGGGTGTGTGTGGGTGTCCAGCTAGTTTGTGTGACTTTGAAAGCCTGCTGAGTGGAAACAAAAAAAAAAAAGACCAAACGCCAACAAAGAGAATAAGTCGTGTCCTCTCTTTCTTGGGTTTCTGTGCTATACGGGGCATCAATCACGTCGACACGCACGTACACAAATTCCTCACACTATTTCTAGCATGTTATTCGGCTAGGTTTCCTCTCCGCTGGGTATTTCGGCTGCCAGCAGCCCTTTTTCACTCTCTGCTCCAGAAATCTCGAAAAGAAAAGGCAAGCAAGAGCGAATACAGCAGCAGAAGAAAAGGGACAACGTGAAGGAGGCGGACGCAGGCTTCAGAGTGTGTCCGCCTGACCTTTTCCAACCATGTGTGGACTCAAAGAGAGAGAGAGAGAGGCTTCTGAACTCCACTAATCACTCCTGTCTGTGGTGCCCTCAGATGCCTTTTTCTCCCAGTAAAGGAGAATTCTCCACATTCTGACATCTCCTCCTTCCAGCTGTTGTAGTTCTACACACCCCAGAGGCTCCAGGCTGTCAAAACAACACATGCCTGGCTCACCCCCAGCCCACTGGCCCCTGGCCACCGAGCCCACAGTTACAGTGCTGCGGGATCCTCCTTCATACCAGGCTTTTGACAGGACAACACCGCCACACCTTCAGCGACATGCTTACCTAACCCCACATCAACTCAATAGAGATGTAACTGTGTGAAATGTGAAATGCTTTAAAGCTCCGTTGTGTGTTGTGTTTCAGTGCCAGACAGCCCACCTGTCAACGTTACGGCTGTGCTAAATGGGACGGAGGTGCTGATGGCGTGGGAGGGGCCTCCGGGGAAGCTGAACGGAGAATTACAGGGTTACATGGTGGAGTACAGCACGCCTGCAGCGCAGCAGGTCAGCCACAACAAAATCCACATTTGTGACGGCTTCTGAAGTGATTGAGGTAAAGAAAATATCCAGTTTGCCGCATACTGACAGTCCCTCTTCTTTCTTTTTGTTGACAGTTTATTGTGGACACTGGATTGGACACTGAGCTGTCAATCAACCTGTCCGTCCCCCTGTCCAATGTGACTTTTCGAGTGTGTGCCTACACAGGGGCGGGTCAAGGGCCTTGGACCCCCGCACAGACGTTGACACTTACGCCTCGTGAGTGACAAGAAACTTCACAGCTACGACTAAAATAATAACTAATATGCCGTTTTAAAAAGTAAACATCTAGTTTGGACAACTGCTAAAATAAGTTTGATAAAGTTTTCTTTAAAAGTGAATCGTCTTGTTTGCAATTATCTGATTTTCTCTGTTTCCTCAAGTAAATCCTTCAAGCACAAGCCTTGCATTAGTTTTTGCAAAATGAGGTTGTAGTTTTTTCCCCCTCCTGAACGTGAAAATATTAACCTAAACTCTCCTTTTTCTTGCTTTTACAGAAATATGGGGATTCAGAGGTGAGTACCAACCGACTTCATCCGTGCAAATGTACAAACGCACTCTTTTGTGACCTCTCCGAGTGACACCGAGTGACACAGTGACAGTAGAAGTGAGCTCATGGTGTTTTTTTTCCACCGCAAGACTTCTCTTTCTTATTCTCTGTCACTGGGTTCCTCCATGGTAGTCCCGTCCTGTGTAATTTGGGGAAAGAAAAAAAAGAAAAAAAAAAGAGGAAGGAAGAGAAAAAAGAGAAGAGAGGGTCTCAGAGAGACGGGAAAGGGGAAGAGGGGTGTTGGGGAGGAGGGTGAATGGGGAGACGCATCATAAATATTTATAACAGGCAGGAAGAGTGTAGCATCTCTGTTTGCTTTGTCTAATAGAGCCGGACAGACAATTCAAACAACGAGAATGGCAAATGAAAAGAGAAAACGAGGCAGGGAAAGCCGGGGGAGGACAAGTATGAATAAGAGTTGTTGTGAGTGTTTGGAAGTAGTTTGTTGAGGGTGAAAGTTCAGTGTGTGAGAGACGGGATGGAAAGAACTCACACAGAGAAGATGCTCTGAGAATTGGAAAATGAGCGTATTTTTGGAAAGAAAAGATCCGCTAGATTTAGCTCGAGGATGGATTTGGCCGGCTGAAACATATCTTTAGCCCCAATAATGCTGCATATGTATATCATAAGTGTACACTATGTAATTACAAAGCTATAACTACTATTTATGTCAGTCACTATCACTACAACCCTTGTAAGAATGTAGTGTGACAGGACATGCATGCCAAGAATTTGCATCTGTAGCAAAACACAACAACGAGCGTCTTTTCACCTTTAGCATCTCTCGTAGATCCCGTTCTGCATCCTCAAAGTGGGAAGCAGCAATAAATAATCCGCCTAATTACGACGTGATACATCTATAGGTGTGAATTCCTCACCTTAGTGGACAAAATAAATCACAGCTTGATGATTGCTGCTTTTGTTACCTCAAATGTTCAAAAATCTTGCATTTTCACTCCATCTTATAAGACCTACGTGACTCATCTCTCTGTGTCCACACCCCTTTCCTCAGGTCCGTCGTCGCCCCCGGCCTTTTCCTGGCACTGGTGGTATGTGGTGATGGCCATCGCCGGCGCTGTGTCCATAGCTGTGCTCATGGCTGTTTACGTGGCCAAGCTGCGGCGCAAGGAGACGCGCTTTGGGTGCGTACGCTGTTTGTGCTCCTCGTGGGTGGAAGGGAGGGACTCGATATCTCTGCCAAACCCAAAAAGTTTCATATTTTTTTTTCAGTCCCTTGACCTAGTTGACTCACTTGCATTTTGAGGCATTCTGATGGAAAACAAGACATTTGTGTCTTGTGAATTATGGTGCTTGCTTTCAGCTCCTGTTGCTAAGTTTTGATTGTGTGTTTTCACAGGGAAGCCTTTGAACCTATGATGGAAAGCGGAGAACTGGTGGTCAGGTATCGCGCTCGCCGCACCTACAGCCGCAGGACTACAGAGGCTACATGTAAGTTCCTGTCTGTCCCGGCATGTTTGTCAGAACACTTTATATTTGCCCCTGACTGTCGCTCAGGAAGAGATACTGTTAGCAGCGTGCCCAAACCTGCCTCTGAGGACAGAGGTACAAAACAAGTAGCATCTTCTCTCGTTTCCTGGGCCTGGATCCAACAGTTCAGTGGAAGGAAATCGGCGCCTCTCGTGTCACACAACAACAGCTCTATTCTCCACGTTTCAGGACAGGAATCACATCCTTAGTTTGTTTGGGTGATCAAAGCCAGCGACAGCGAAGGGGTTAATTCATTCCCCACAGCTGTGATAACAGCCCAGCAGTGTTCAGTCAGATGACATTCTCCCCAGAAACATTGTGCCCTCTGTATTATATGTATTATGTAACGGGTCGATTAGATGTGCAGCAAATCTGTTCATGAAGTTATGCCCTGTGCAGTCAGGCATGAATTGCAAAATTAAATTTGACTTGACAGACTTAGCAAGTGAAGGTGATCCTTAGTAGCATGTCGGAGAGGTTAAAGATGTCGAGAAGGAGATACAGTTACATCAGGGAGCAAGCGACTTAATGTTGCCCCTTCGAAGGATGGGATTTCAAAATTAAACAGAGTGTCACAACAGATGAAGAGCTGCTCGACCGGCATGAGGAGGGAACTTCAGGTTTTGTCCAGGTGGAGCAGTGACCTACTGCTGGTGGGATACAAAGAAGGGCTTTTTTAAAGATTGTTGTTTTGGCATTTTCTACTTTATTACACAGTGAGGAAAGACAGAAAACTGTACCAAGGACTCACTACTTGGCTGCGTTTGAGCCCGTTGGGTTTGCATCCCAACCATTTGGCTATCAGATCGACCCGTAAAGAAATGCTTTGCAGTGGTTTGTGTGTTGTCACCAGCCAGCGATCCCTCAGAGTCCGTATGATTACACACAGTGATGCGTACCTGTAAACACAGCTTACAGACTCAGATTTCACACAGCTGGGTCACATTCAAGCCCTGACATTGTCCCTGGTGTGCACACAATATTTGTATAAGCATCATGCGCGAGTCTCAGCTTGCCGCAGCCACAAAGAGGCTGGGGGAAAGGCAGAACCGAGGAGAAAAAAAGAGCCAAAAACCATTCTGTGGGTAAAATGAGATGAGCCAAAAGAAAGAGATGAGGAGATAACGTGTACTCTGAGTGAATGATGGAAAGTGCACAGGGCCATAAAGGAAGGAGTCAGATTGGAGGGATTTGGGCGGGATTTACGCTGCTGATGTTGATCAGTAATTTCGGCCAATTCTCAGGACAAAGTCAGACCCTGGGGCCCCCGGTTATTGCCTGCATTGGCTAAAATATGTTCACGCCAGCATGTGTTGGAACATGCCTGCAGACTGAGTACATAGTTGTCCAACATGAGGCAGATTGATAGTGTAGCAGCAGCTGGACGAGGATGTCTGAGCATATTGTTGCCCTGTCACATCCTGGCCCAGATGTGAAAACAGAGCTCAGGTCTGCAGCACAGTCTGCTCAGTGACAGCCAGCTGTGGAGGGACATTCAGACCAGCCTAAATCCTCCCCAACCCAACCTGGACCCTGCACGGTCACATGGTTCGTGTGTCCCACTGCTGAAAAAACGAGGACAGAGAGACCCAATGTCAGATAATCTCTACATCGTAGTCCGCCTGTCATTGCAATTGTGCTTGTTTTTTTTGTTACTTCTCATGTTTGTGTTTTGCTGTTGCATATATTTCAACTGCACTTTATGTTTGTTTTCTTTGTTGTTTCAGTCCAATTTTTTGATAGTTCGTTCTGATAAAATTTGAACCCACTGTGAACTCATACAGCTGTTTTTAGGATTTAATAATGACATTTTATAAAAATGGACAGTGCAGAATGATGTTTGAAACAGGGCTTTGAGCGTAGCCTCAAATATTTATTATTTGAACCCAACTTCAAATGGTGCAGCCGCGTAAAATTAATTCTTTTTGCATTAACAAAACAGATGAAAAGAAAAGACTTAATGTCCATTTTGTTGAGTTTTACAAGTAGACCGGATTGTTTCAGTTCACTTATAGTCTCATTTTCATTGTTGTTTAAGTCTGGCAGTGTTTATTGACGCATTGTTTTTGGCTTTGTGTTGTGCATTGTGGTTTTGGAAAAGCAAGGGAGGCTGCTTGGTACAATCTAGCTGTTTTTCTCTCTTTTCTGCGTTAATTAATGTGCTTTGGGCTCCAAGCACCATTAAAATTCCTTATTTTTTCCTGTTCAGTGAACAGTCTCGGCATCAGCGATGAGCTGAAGCAGAAGCTCCAAGATGTGATGGTGGACAGACATAAACTAACCCTGGGAAAGACTCTGGGAGAAGGTAATGCTTTGTTTTGGTTTGTTTTTTTCAATTTGCATTTGTCTCATTTCTAGGACAGACTGGATTAACAGTGTCAGTTCAGGGAGTTTCTGACTGAATACCAAGTAAAAATAGGCATTTGGAAACACTTTTGTTTTTCACTACATTGTCAGAATTATTCTGCTGTGGCACCACTATTTGCTTTGTCTTGAACCTGGATACAGTCAAACAGTTTGCAATGTGATAGCCTCGGGGATTTACCCAGCCTTCACTATTTAACGTGTCATCTAAAAGTGCATCTGAACCGTGTTTTTCTTGTGTTTTAATTTCTCTCTTCAGGGGAGTTCGGCTCTGTGATGGAAGGCCTGCTGACTCAGGAGGAGTCTGTTCTCAAAGTTGCTGTCAAGACCATGAAAAGTGAGTAGACAGTAAAAGTAGTGAGCAATCACCACAATGAACCCCTTCATCTACGGAACACTGGCCATTTGATAGGCAGCCCGATGGGTGAAATATTAACAAGTGCTCGGGGCAAAAATCTCAGTTTTTGATCAGAGAGCAGACAAAGGCACAGTTTGTAGAAAATATTGGCAGAAGAAAAGGTTGACACCATATAAACCGTAGCGGCCAAGTAAGGTCAATTGTATTAAAACTGAGTTTTGGAGGCAAAAACAGCACCACCCTTGTGAATTTTATGCCAGTTTCAAGCTGTGGTGAAGAAGTTAAAACAAACTTAGTGGTAAAAAAAAAAACTGCTAACATGTTTGAATTCATGGTTTAATAAATCCAGCAGTCAAAACGTCCTTTGAAATAAAAGTTTATTTCTTACCCTGGCATCTGTGCAGCATTAATGCCATGTGTTACCCACTGAGCTGCACAACGTGGCCTCACCTCTGTACCGTCTCCTCTACAGTTGCCATCTGCACACGCTCAGAGATGGAAGATTTTCTACGCGAGGCCGCCTGCATGAAGGAGTTCGACCACCCCAACGTCATGAGGCTTTTAGGTGAGTCAGGAGTTGGACTGCTTATGTTATTTATAGGTGTTAAGCAATTCAGGTTTTGGAGACAGTGGAGATGAATACAACTTTGTTTGTTCAAACACTGCCCCAGGTTAATGCACACACCTCACTGGAAGCAGTTTTCCACGGAACTTCTTTCTGCCTAAAAACTAGCCGTGACCTGCTGCATTTTCTGTATTTTATGCAGAGCAAAAAAAATCTGTATCTGCATGGCAAAAAAATAACACATAAAAATAGCATCATATTAAATCAATGAATCCAACTGTTAAGAGTAAAGTCATGTTAGTTTCTGAATGTACAGAACATGCCTGGTGTCTGTGTACTAAGTCGAAGTGTTTTTTCAGGTGTGTGTCTGCAGACTGTGGAGAGTGAAGGTTACCCCTCCCCGGTGGTCATCCTGCCCTACATGAAACATGGAGACCTGCACAGCTATCTGCTGTACTCGAGGCTTGGCGACTGTCCTGTGGTTAGTCTGATTACAAACAAGCTAAAAGCACAGAGTCAGCAGCACACATGTGAACGCATAGTTTAACAGCGTAATGGGGATTGGGGTTTATAAGTTCAGTTCAGTGTCTGTCAGCGAAACTGCATCCAAAGTTCAACACAGATGTAAAGTATTTGTTAAGTCGGTCTCCACCCACACCTAATTGGCAGCGTGTACGCTCTGAGATCATTAAGACGCGAGATGAGTCTTCGCTCTTTGCAGTTTTACTTATTAATGGATGAAGTAGGTTTCTTTGGAAGCGAGAGCTAAAATACGCAGCATGTCCCCGAAGAGTCATGTTGAGAAACACGAGCCTAATCAAAGCAAGACTCACGCAGAATGTCGAAACGTCTATGAGTTCGGCAGACTTTCAAAAAACACAGTGCTGGTGAAGCCCATTGTTCCCACAGGAGGAGGCTGTTGGTATCTGGGAAAAGGGGGGCAATCAGTTCAGACTGATTACAGGCTCCTTTAAAAAGATGTGCTCTGGTGCCCCCTACTGTGCAGAAAACACATGTCAGCTGTGGTGTGAAATGAACTTTATTCTCTCTGCGCTGTCCTGCAGTACCTCCCATCTCAGATGCTGGTGAAGTTTATGACCGATATTGCCCGGGGAATGGAGTACCTCAGCAGCAAGAACTTCATCCACAGAGACCTCGCTGCCCGTAACTGCATGTAAGCACAATCTCTGCTTCCACTTTTTACTTTTTCGGTTCCTGTAGGTGTCCTTGTTTGCTCGTCCTCTTTCCCTTTTTAGCGGTCATGCAAAGGCTGAAGTAAAACTAGAACTCAAAGCAACACAGGAAAGAAGGAAAGCCCAGAAGTGCGAAATACTGAAAATATGTGTAACTCACATCACGTTATGTCCTATAAGATGATCATAGGAGTTGAATGTAAAATTTAAACTGACAAAATAACAATTTGTCTAATAGACTTAGTGGAACAGAATTAGAAAGCAGAAAGATTTAATACTTAACTGTACCTACAACCTCAAAACTGAGCTTATGGACCACACTGTTTTCCACCACCGCCTTAATGTCCCTTTCTTAAAAACACAGCACTCTAAGTCTAACGCTCTGCTTTCTCGTCTCAGGCTGAATGAAAACATGAATGTATGCGTGGCCGACTTTGGCCTCTCCAAGAAGATCTACAACGGCGACTACTACAGACAGGGGAGGATCTCCAAGATGCCGGTTAAATGGATCGCCATCGAAAGCTTAGCTGACCGCGTCTACACCACAAAGAGCGACGTGGTTAGTTCACCTGCTGTTTGTATTAATCACATCGTGGAGATGCAATGCAAAGTAATGTTTCCTAAAAGGGTAACGACATGTTAGAGGGTTAAAAACCTGGCTGTTGTTTGTGATTAGAGGATATAGGCTCAGAGAATTATATTACTTTCCACCAGGTTTTGGAGCTTTTAAAGAGGAAACACTGTGTTCAACCAGTTTAATATATGGATTGACAGTGGAAAAGGGAATTATGCTGGAATACTTGGAAAAAGGGGGGAAAGCATAGTTGAAACCAGCCACAGTAAAAAGCAGATTTTTATTTAAATGTACCCAAATTGTTAAAGTAAAGGGAAGGTCCTGAGGTAGGCATGTGTAATGTTAAACTGTCCTCACAAGTTCCAACAGCAGAGGAAAGCAATTTTTTTTGTTTTATTCAGTGGGGAAATATTAACTGTCTTCACTCTATAAAAATACTAACTAGCCTCATTAGGACAGAATTCTGATGTATTCCCCTAAACGTCTCCCATCTACAGCAAAATATACAGAAATACGTCATGACCAACATCTGGGACGGATATCAACTATAACAGCTGGTGAAAACATTGCATGTATATTTTAGGGGCCTCGGAGTCTGAGTGTGTGAGAAAACATGTGGATACGGTGCAAGCATTAAAAAATCAAGCGCAGGATGTCCAAATACTCCCAGGCAAACATGGTTGTTAGACTTTTTTTCTTGTGTTTGACCAGTGCAGATTCATGTTTGACTAGTGTGTGGCAAGGTGTGTAAAACTCTGACGGAATTTTAAGGCTGCTTAGCCCTTCCCCTCTCTGTCTGTCTGTCTTAACTAATTTCTTCTTCCTCTCAGTGGTCGTTTGGAGTCACCATGTGGGAAATCGCCACTCGGGGCCAGACGCCATATCCTGGGGTGGAAAACAGTGAGATTTATGATTATCTGAGACAAGGAAACCGTCTCAAACAACCTCCAGACTGTCTGGACTGCATGTAAGTTTTAGCTCCCTCTCCAAACACACTCCACTGGTGATGAAATCCTTTCCCTCCTGATTAGAAATACCTTTTTTTTTCCATGTAGTAACAAGGAAACAGGCTAAAAAACATTTCCAGTCTATCTGCTTTCCAAGGATCTTACATAATTCCCAGAGTTTTTCCCATGTATTAAAGGACTGTGTGATGAACTTTTCGATAAGGCCTGTCCAGGTTGAAAAGGCTTTTGAAGAAATTTAAAGCCTTTTTGATAAAATGGTTACAATTATAATATTAAAGCTGCAAGCGGTGATGGACGGGTCCTCGCCCTACGCTTGTCGGCCTTTGCGCACGGCGGGACTGTGATCTGATTGACTTTTTTGTGCGTCCTGACCTGCTACACATGCCCAGCGAATCTTGTAGCTGTAGGTGAAACGCCCTTC